AGAATCGAGCTACGTGCCAGAATTTAATCATTTCTTTTCGCTATCGACGCGAGAAGAAATGGCGAGATCGATTCGATTGGGTATTCCGGTTCTTCTTATTCTTCAGCTTCTTCTTCGTCTGTCCTTTATAGAAAATAAACACGCTGAAACAGCTTCGAGATTCCGTGGAATTTCATGGAAGCGATCGAATTGCGCGTTCAGCCGATATTCCTCTTCACGATGAAATAACTACGAATTCGTTGCCTCTTCACGTTTATTAGCTTTTTAATATCGCAGGGATTTTTCTGCCGGCTCCGTGACCGATTTTTCCCCAAGAACCCTTGTCGTTTCGCGAACAGTTAAGCTCCGTGAAACTTGTCCTCGTATTACAATGTAATGACGCTTCTCGATCTTGTTCTTAAGAAACTTCCTAACGCGACAGACTAGACCGATGCGATTGCTTTTTGAGAAAATATTTCAACTATTTCATGATTTATCCGATCGCAGCATTCGAGGGCTGTTAATTCGGAGGAAGTCACGATCGAGGGTATCGAATTTAGACCGGGTCTCGTGATTCTGTCAACATAGGGTGAAGAAGGGTGACAGACAAAAGAGAACCCCTCCGGATACAATGAAACTTTAAATCACCGCGCGTACGTGTACACAGGGTGCGCTCGTATCTACCTGTTGCACGTTCGTCACTCACTCACCTTGATTGCCGAAGCCATGTCGAGAATAGTTGGTGTTCCTCCAGTTAGCTCCTCGAGCAGCCGCAAAGAAGAAAAAAAGAAAGGAACGAGTCAGGAGTTCAGATCGCGGATAAATCGAACGAAACAGAGTTTAGAGAAATGAAGTCGAGGAATCTTTTATAGTCGTGTGTGTCCTCTCGCCGCGAAATCTCGGAACACACTGGGCCCGAAGGTACGTCCGTGGCCTTTCCTCCCCTTCTTTGCGCGATAAATACGAAAGTGTGTGTACAGCGGGCAACGACGCCGCGATGATAGCCAACGGCGGTTCTCCGTCTTCGGACACCTCTCTGTGCACCAGCTGCTTACGAAGTAGGGGAAGCTTCCAGGCATGCATGAGTGTGCGCGATGCAGGTTGCACTTTTCTTCTTGCTCCTCGCCTCTTACTCTCGTTAAACTTCCACCACGCGGTTACCACTTTCTTTGGCACACCGCTTCACTCGTTTCGAGTGGATCTACACGCTCGAGCGTTCGCGCTTTTCAAACTCTTTCTTGGCTTTAGAAAGCTTAAGTGCGCCGTTCAGAAACAAGCGATAAGAGCAAAAAAAAAAAAAGAGGGAGAGAACGGTGAGAAGAAGAAAGTAAAAGTTGAAGATTTATTTTTCTAATCTGATGCTTCGAATCGTTTTGTTAGCGCAGAACGTAAAAAATATCGAGAGGAAATTTAACGGACCAAACTCCAATCTCCTCTCAACAAAACAGCGCTTCCGTCGTTCTTTCTTCTCCAGATTGTACCTCATTTCCTCCCTGTACGTTCGATACACCTTTACCGATTCGAGAATCTGTTTGGTGCCCGCCTGTGCTCGACGGCGATCCTTTTTGCGGATCCGTGAACGGCGTTCAATTAACTTTTACGAGCGACAGCCTGCGTAATGACCTGTTTTCCCTCGTCGGACGTTTTTATTCTTCTCTATGCTATTAATCATTGCAGGGCATCGTTCGCATCATCCTCGAGAAGAGGACGTATCGATCACGTCGCTCGTTAAAACCAGTTATATCCTAGCTTCTGTAAATAAATGTTCTTCCGTTTCTCCCTCTCTCTTACCGGCAAGTCTTATCGTATCCACGTTGATAATTTCCGGCGGAAACTAGAAGATATTTACTTCTGGTGGAAAGCGACGGCAAGGAAAAAGTAAGGGATGTAAGCTTGGCATTTAACCCACCCAAGAGACTCGGAACACGTTCTTGTCGTGATTCCATCGAAAATCAAACTGATTGTTCCTTAAAGTCCAAAGAACAGTCGCTTACGGTGTCGGGAAAGAAGAAATCCCAACAAAGCCATGGATTTAATGGGCTATCGACTCGATTGCACTCTCACGATTGAACACGTATGCTTGTCCGCGACGATACTCTCGCTGAATTGGTGTGAAACGAAAGAAGAAGAAAAAAAAACGATAGAGAAAAAAGAATGACCAGGTGATCTGTCGTGAAATACGATTAAAGTGTTCACCGAAGGACAGAAGGGAAAAGCGAGAAGGAAAGCGTAACGAGGGGTAAAAGTTGGACGCGATATCGGCACGAAACGATAGGAAACTAGGGGGAAAATCATGCCTTGTATCGATAAAGATTACACGGTCCGGACTAGTCGATCTACTTTCGATCTGGCAGCTCGAAGCTTTCGCGGTGTCAAGGGGATTCCTCTGTCGATGCATCGAACGATCCACGCCCTCGTTTTTTCTCTTTCCTATTTTTATTTCTTTCATTTTCTTTTTCCTTTTTTGCAACGAGTCGTTGTCCGGTGCCATTCGAATAATCGTTCGTTTTGAAGGTGATTCGAGGGATCGCGATCGGTTCGAACGAAACGAATTGAAGCGTGCCGAGAACGAAGGAGAAATAAAGGATTGATATGGCTCATTGTCCTGTTGGTCACGTCGCGCGATTCCTCGCGGACTGATTTCACCCCGCGCGTCGCGTCACGCCGCGCCATACCGCACCATGCCGTGCCGCGGTCAGTTTATCCGATCATTTCGCGGTGAACCGTTTAAAACCGTAATGGACCTCTTTACCGTTTCCGCTCTCGTTTCCCTCATCGATAAGACGAATAGTCAGTCGCTGGCTCTCAAACACGAGAATTTTGCCTGGTGCACAACCTCGAGCGTGAAAACGATTCAACGATCTGGAACGGGCCGACGCGACGCGACGCGACGCGACGTCGCGCCACACGAAAGTCACAAACGACCAAAAGCTGACCAAAATTTACGCGAAAATTCGAGGGACCGTTTCGAAAGGGTGCTGGTTGCTCGCTAATTTCCCTACCCTGTGAATCCTTAACTACCGGATAAACCTACCACTCTGCGGAACGAACCAACCGAACCGAGAAGCCTAAACCTGGAAAAGGGTAGACCAACCTGACGGCATTAATTTTCTTTTGAAAATATTTATTCGATTCGACGAAGGTTCGAATCTCTTTGATGAGAAAATTATGCACTTGGGATTTTTTAGCCATATGCTAACGAAATGAAACGGGTAATGTAGTATGAATTGTTATGGAAATTCGAAGCAACTTCTGCCACCAAGTTGTTTGAACAATTCAAAGTATCCGATGCGATCATAAACCTGGTCAAACTAGAAATTCCAAGGCGAAAGTTCACAAACACCCGTCACGCTCTGTTGAATCGAACGCGTGTACACCGGTTGTTGCTTCCACGTCCACGAGAGAAAGTGGAAAAAGTCGGAGTCTTCGTCGTCGAATGGACACGGAGGAGCGCCGATTTCCTGGAAACGATTCGCTTGATCGTTCACCTCGAACGTAAAGAGCAAGAGAATATCCTGCTATCAAAGATCGTACGATTACCGTGTAGTTGCCCTGGAGGCACGAGTTGTCTCGATTTCTCGCCACTTTCGACGTCGAAATTCGGCATGGAGGTTTCACCTTTTTTTATTTTTACTCTGAATCATTCGCAATAAATCGAACTACATAAATAGGGATCTACTAAATTGTTACGCAACGATCAAGGCTTCCATCTTCGATCACGAATATGTAATGTAAATTTTCTACAATGATACGACGATAGAAAACGTGACGAATGCTTAAACATCGGGTCAAGGATAGTTTCTCTAGAGACATGCCACGCGACACGTAGCACCAAATATGACGAAAGGTTTCAGGAAAAGATTCTTGCATCGTGCAGCGTTATTCGATGCCAATGACACTGACTTTTTATAATTGGGAAAAATCAGGTATTCCTATTCGGAGCACGCGTATACTCGCGACAGATTGATTGGCATGCCGTATTTGCTTGGGGAGTGCTGCTATTTGTGTCGTTCTTCGATTGCCATCCCGCAAAGCCTTCCAATCCTTTGTTCTTCATCCTTCTTCTTTTCTGGCAAACTTTTTATTCCTTTGTTGTATTTATTTTGCTTATCAATTATATGCAACATCTGTGTATACATATAGTAGCCCCTGTAGTATGCTTTTATTAAGGGTAGAAAAGACTTCAGCTTCAGACGATCGTTGAATTTTATTTTTATTCGATCCCAGAGTTAGGTACTCTATTTCCCGTACATTTGTGATTTAGACAAAAGAATAACGTTCTTCCGTTCGTGGTGAACACTTATCGAAATAAAAGTCGTCGAAGATAAGATAGCTTAATCGCAGTTTCGCGAACTGTATTACGAGTAGCTGCGAGGCAACTGTCCGCAGTAGATATGCGCGAAATCCATTTTCCAGTTGTTAAACCTCGCTAACTTGCTAATGTAACTCAAATAATTAAAGTGACGTGTACAGGCGCTACTCTGAGGTTACAGGGACAACTTCTGGATCCTAATGTGGATGGAAGATATAACGTGCGAAACTGGCTAGAAATGGCTAGGGAAGGGTTGAAAGAGAAGGGGGAAGAGAATTTCAAGCGCGCGTAATAGCGCAGTCTAAGTAACGTATGTTCTAAACTAAACTGCTCTATCTTGCACGAACTTCTATCTTCGAAGTTGTGGCTCGAATTCAGAATATTCTATTTAAAAATTTATTCGCTACATTCGTTGCGCTGCCGCGTATATTAATTATGAAGAGATAAGTTCACCATACCCAATCTTATTATTCTCTACTGTAATTTACTTGTCCTATCACCTTCTTCCTTTTTTCTTTTTTTTTCAGGCATTCATTTGCATGTTGTAATTTACATTTTATGCTTTTTTGGGGAAAAATATTTTCCGAAGCCATTTCACTGTCAGAAATTAAATCAAGATTAGGTTCGCGCGTATATGCGCGCAAGCAATGTCTGCAAGAAAAATGCAAGCAACCGCCGCTATAATACGGGAATCGTTTGGATGTTGCAGGAATGCAGTTGGTAACGCCATCTGCACAATGCATCGTGCAATATTTTCACGCGAACAATACAACTACAGGGACACGCGTAACGCGACAATGGCGACCTGAAAGACTGGCGTGCGCTTCTTTGCTCCGTATACTTTTGACATCTCACCAGTGTTTACTGTGCCCTTTTCGCATATTTGTGAATGTGAAATATACTTGTGCTACCTTAAAATATGTGACTGATGAGGTGTAAAAGTTAGAAACGAGAAATCGCCTCGATCCAGCCGCTAAAGTTAGTTAGGTGCACGACACAATTCAATGGTGTTGGTCCCTGCCGAAAAAACGGGAAAGCCATGTACATGTCGATGTCTTGCCAACTATAATGCGGTGGTAAGCGTACAAATGGTTCATATTCTATCTGCCTTTCATATATTTTCAGCCCTACACCCTTTATATATCCCGCAATCTAATAAATATTTTAGAAAATCGTGTAGGTTAGGTTGGCCTGAGAAACGCATCGGCGGATTTTATTTTGCTTTCTTTTTAAAGGGTTGCCTATTTGTTTTTTTTTTTACGTTACTTTTATCGCTTCGATCGTGCTGTTGGTCGGGATCATGCATTATTTTTACGTAAACGATAATTATTTAAAGAGGACACACTCAAATACTTCTTATTTATATTAGCATACACAGTATAGTAACTTACAACCATATATGTATTCACTTGGACCCTATTGTGAATGTAACATTAAAAATATATTTTCAAGAATAACAATAATAATGATGAAATATTCCAGTAATAAAATTATCAAATACTTTTGTTTAATTGGAATTCTTTTATTTGTTACATGAAATAGAATTATTTATTTAATCTGAATGTTACACATACTCGTAAGCTATTATGATACAAATAATGAAACACAATATTTTTTTCACTCAAATGCCTCAGTGGAACACCAGTGGAAACTTACTGCCAAAATCTAGCGTGGTGCTGATACGGCATGATAAAATAAGGGAAGAGAACGAAGGAGATGAGCCACAATATTGCAGGCATGCCACCCTTTGCAAGGATGCCTTTAGGGGGTATGGGTATGGGTGTGAATATGGGTCCTAGTGCCCCGCATCCTGAATCTTCTGGACACCCCCATCCTCCACCACCACCACCTACTGGTGCCAATCCTAAAAAGAAACGACGTACAAACGCTAATGTTGCTCAACCACCCCCACAGCAACCTCCAACAGTGCAGGTGATAACATTTATTACCAAATCTCGATAGAAGGTACTGGATTTTACGTTTTTTATTTACGAAAAATGTATTTTCAGGATTTGCTACCTCCGCCTTTAACGGGTTACGGGGACACGATAGTGGCGAGTAACCCTTTTGACGATACGCCACCGCAAACGAGTCAAACTCCCATGATGCACGGTGGTCCGCCGCACATGCATCCCCATCACCCGCATCATATGAGCGGACCGCCTATGAGAGGCATGAGTCCGTTAACTTCGATAGGCGGGATGAGTCCTATGATGCCTCACAACATGGGTAGTATGAGTCCTATGGGAAACTCGCCCATGACGAATCATATGAATCACATGGGAGCGATGTCTCCTATGAATCACGCGCCAATAGGTGGTATGAGTCCAATGAATAACATGGGCCCAAGCATGCCACCTGGTCCAATGAATACTATGAATAATCATATGAACATGAGTCACATGGGTAACTCTCAACTTAGCGGTCCACCTATGGGTAGTCCTATGAACAATATGAACAGTGGTCCAATGGGTAGTCCTATGAATAACATGGGGCACAGCATGGGAAGTCCTATGGGTGGTCCATTGGGTTCTCCTATGAACACAATGGGTGGATCAAATCACATGCCTAATGGACCAATGAACATGAACAATATTAATAACCACATACCACCTAATAGCCCGTTGAACGGACCATCTATGAACAATGTAAACAGTCCATTAGGGCACAATGGATCTCAGCCGCATCCGAATCATATGGGAAATAATCTTAATAACTTAGGAAGACCCATGAATGGACCTATGACTACTATGAGTTCCATGGTATCCAATAATATGAATATGAGTGGTCCAAACCAAATAAATAGCATGAACATGGGCGGGCCACCGATGAACAATATGTCTAACATGAGTATTAGTCATCATAATCAAATGAGTCACATGGGAGGTCCCATGGGTACAATGTCTAGTAACATGGGTGGTGGTCCACCAATGAGCCATCCCATTAATATGGGAGGTTCTATGCCACCTCACGGTTTCCAAGGCCCACCAGGAATGGGACCAAAACCAATGCCAGTTTCTGCGGGAAAGGTATATTTTCATAACGTAAACTGTTAAAACAGTAATTCGGGTACTTATGAGACAAGTCGACGTTCTTTTGATGTTATAGATATATCCTCCAGATCAGCCTATGGTGTTTAACCCACAGAATCCTAATGCTCCGCCAATTTATCCTTGTGGAGTATGTCATAAAGAAGTGCACGATAACGATCAAGCGATTCTTTGCGAGTCAGGTTGTAATTTCTGGTTTCACAGGTACGCAAATGTTTCTTTTATCTACGTTCGAAAGAAATGATCTCTTAAAAACATTATATAGTTAACGTATACGATGATAATTTATTCTAGGGGGTGCACAGGATTATCGGAAACTGCTTATCAATTATTAACGGCAGAAGTTTACGCGGAATGGGTGTGTGATAAGTGCTTGCAGTCAAAAAATATACCTTTGGTTAAATTTAAACCATAACAGTTCTTGACTCGTCGTATATGCGACGCACGAGTGACTCTTTGTTAGCGTTTACACTTGTACACGCACACATGCGCGTGCGATTGCACACACATAACTACATACGGCATACACTAATGCACGAGCGAAATCGTGCATATAATATAAACATGCGCTGTTTGTTAATATCTTAGCTTTAACTTGTTGAAATATTAGGGTATCATTATGAGTCGTATCGATGAAGGAGATGGCAAGAACAACATATGTTTGAAAGTTACGTTACTTTTTCGCTCTATTTACGACAAGTGGATTCGTCTGTTTCAAAAAATTATTTATGATTTCACTTTACAGTTTATAAAGCTGCTAGTTTGTTTTCAGTTGCCGTTATGGTGATAAATATGTTAAAAGTAAGCTCGAGAAAGCATAGGCATTTTTTAGAGAAAATTGTTAAAAAATGTACAGTGATCGATTAACCTTATTGGATTTCTTATCACTTAACTGCATTTAATTCGAAATTAAAAGATAATCGCATTCGTAAAGAAGGAACGATATATAAATATATATATATATATATGAACGGTACAACCTGCTGAAACTGCATATTGATAGGAGATGAACCAACTACGTACATTCTTTTTATTTAGATTTGGTTAAACGTTCCTGATAATATGTAGTTGATGTAAAAGAAAAAAATTAACAACTGTGTATTATTTGATAAATTATGTCTAGTTATGTCGTTATCATTTTGTTACCAGGCTCGTCGCGTTGATTAGGTAAATCCAAAGGATCTAAACGATACTTTTTAAAGAAAAAAAAAAAAAAAATTGTAAATGCACATCTAAATATGTGTAAAACAGAGTAAATATGAACTTCAGACGATGTAAATTTTTCTCGTAGCGCTGGTTGTATTTACAAGTATCGGGATATGGGAAAATTTTTAAATCCACTTCTTCGTATAATTCAGTTATTACCGAAGTATTTTGGGTTTTCAGAAAAAGTAATATAAAAAAATACGTTCGAGTAAACGTAGTTTATTTCTCCCAAATTACAAATACGAGTGCTACGATTACCTGCACTTTGGTATAAACCATGGTCAGTTATGTACTTTCGAAATGTGTTAGCGTTATACTTTAAGAGTACATATGTTCAAATTGTAAATAGAAATTTTAATGTCATGCGGAGGAAGAGTTGATTTTCTTTTACCATCGTTCATATATTGTTTCTTGCCATGGTTTATGCTGATGATTAATTCATTACGAGCAAGTGTAACGAATTTTAAAAAGAAAGTTGAAATTCGTTTGACTGATAGCTCGCGGGATTTTTTACATTGTACCTAAAGTTTTACGACAAATATATCAGTTATATTCGTTTACGCAAAGAAACCAATTAGGTAGAAACGTGATATAATAAAGTGTTAGTAAAACAAAAGAAAAGAAATAAGACTCAAAAGTGCAGAAAATATTTATATGTTTTGCAAATTCATATAAACAGAAATTAAACTCAAGATACTTCGCGAAATATAATAAAAGGAGTGTCGTGTTTAGTTGCAGTATCGAAATTTCTGCACCTAACACACATATACATATGTTATACACGTGCGAGTATATACACTTACATTCACGCTCTTCTTCGTCGAGTTAAGATTCATCATCGCATCTGCCAGAATTTTTGGTGTCAGTTTATGTATAACAGTATATCACGAAACAACAGAGAAGTATTATCGACGTAAAACGATTAACGCAATGAAAGGGAAAAAAAGAAAATTATTCAAATTCCGTCGGCAGCTAACGCAAAATTAACGAGTCCACGGATTGTATAGTTTTATATACATATACATATATATATATATATATATAAAATAATGCAGTTATCATTTTACTATTTGACGCCTGTATCAAACGAACGACTGATTTCGAAAATTGAGTTCATAGTACTTTTTAGAATAACTAGATAGCTTCTTCTGTCCGCGAACAGAAGAACAAATCCGAATCTTTCCACGGGTGGAACCTCTGACGCGCTTTCGTTCCTGAATATTTACGAGAAGCAATCGAATTCAGATAAATGTCAATCAGTGTTCCAGCACCACGGGAACGAAAGTAGAATAGGGATTACTCTTGAAAAGATCCGACCTAACTAGTTATTTCCTTCGTGATCCGTGTATTACACGAAGCTTCTCTTCGTGTGATCCACGCTTCGAAGTCTTGTTTTATTGTAATCATTTTTAAAGGATATTACACACACATACACACAGAATCCTATAACTACATAATGCTCATATTAGTATTACAACGAATAGAAGTACCATTTTCACATATCTTCATTCTATATTTTGTCATTGTCATATGAAGGATGAATGGGGATGGGGGAGGGGGGTGTATCACACACTGGAGATCGTTAACGTTGCTTTTTTTTTTGTTTTTTCTCTCTCACTCTCACTCTCTTTCTCTCTATTACAGAAAATTCTATTAACGGGAATGCAGGGGATTAAGCGAATAACGAAATGAAAGATGTATACTCGGCTCAACGGGATGGAAAAAGGATGCGCAACTATAGACGATTGCTAAGAGACTCGGATGATTAAGGATAATCGTTTTTCTAGTACAAACGAACGAATCGTAATTTTAAGTAAACTACTAGTAACGTCTATTTTTCAGAGATAACTTATATAAGTTGTATTGTTTACGAACAAAAACTGTTATGCGATCAACGGAATCATGACGCACGCCTAAAATGATACGTTTTAATGTCTCGTTCTTGCATTCATCGAGTAGCAACAGTTTCTTCGATTACGTTTCTTTTTTAACCGGTAGCTTAATCCCTGTACAATTTGTTCGAAGCAAATGCATTTCATATGTGTCTGAATTCGTTTTTGTCTCATTGTGTTACCTTTGAATTTCGTCACTTCATCTTCATTTTCTTTCAGCCATTTGTCGTCGAGGAACGAAACGTTCTCTCCCGAAATTACAATTGTCCAAAGCTGTTTCCTTTTGTTTCTTTCTTAACGCTTTGACTGCCATGATATCCATAATTATTTTATGGAGAACGATTCTTACGATTTCAATTTGTAACTTCAGATTAGGTTTATCGAAGATAAAATGACTGCTTGGTGAGACCGTAGCATGGCGGCCAAACTGTTGAAACAATTGTAAAATCTTGTGTTTATCAACTTATCTGTGTATATAAGTTATTTGAAAAACGATGCAACACGTAGATATTTTGTTCTAGACTATCTGTAAATAATCTCTTGTATCGTCTTATCGAATCGAGAATGCGTCGTGCTACTTTATTTTCCTTTTTCGTTTTGCCTGTACCAACGCAACAGCAAAGAGGAATTTGCAATTGAACCGTAAAGTTAGATTTCCTTTTTCCTCCCTGGACAACCACTGTATCGAAATCAGAGGACTCGAGAAAACTTGAGGGCGGTATCGACGCTCGATTTCAAAGCATTGCTTGATTTCATTATTATCACCTTCATTACTATTATATGTATTATGTTAGTTACTATTATTCTCATTACTGTATTATTACTTTGTACGAGATCAATATTTGTTATTGATAACTGAATTCATTATTATATTCTAATATTATATATATATACATATATAATATTCATTATTAATTTTAACGCTTATGTGTATTGAATAAGCTGATTTTCAACGCGTTACGTTTCTCTGAATGAAACATCGATCCGGTTAATCAGAAAGAAATCGAGAAGAATAGATTGAAAGAATGTCGCGTGCTAGTAAAAAAAGAAATTTCCACGTATTATGTGAGAAGTATAAATTGTTCATAGATTATTTTTTGTCATGTAAATACTGACATACATACGTGCATACACATTATACGCGTGGTATGTATGGTCAAGGATATAAATTGTTATACATATACTAGAAATCAACGTACGTATGTCATTATTTCGATACACGATACAATGCGTGCGAAGATATCCTCGTTTTTCTGCAACGTGTACGTGTTCACTCATTGTACATATTTATATGGCACTTGAAATAACAAATCCATACCATGTTGATTTTTATATCGTTCTTGTATCCATTCATTAGAATTTTTACTAATTTATCCTTTCACGATATACGCTTAAGAAACCTCCCATCGCGTTATAGAATCTTGTCTCAAAAATTTCGATCGTAATAGTTTATTAATTACAATGTAACATATCAAAAAAATTCTCCAGCTAATATTTATTTTTAAAAAAAAATTGTAGGTAATTGAATTGACAGTCAGAAGCTATTGTTTCAGGGAAAAATGATTAATTACAAACGTTACAATAATTTTCAAACTTACTACTAAATTAGTTTTTCTTTTTTTTTCTTTTTTTTTTTTTTTTCTTTCAATAAAGGGGTATTCGTTATTCGCTACGATTTGAACGAATTAAGTTCTTCACGTTTCTCGAGCGTATGTAAACGCACAATGTTCGACAAAGTGCGAGCCACGTGTGCTTTCGTGATTCGACCGCTTCGATCATTCGAATTCAAGTCTTCGAGCCAAAATTTCTGCGGTATCTTTGGTCGAACGTAAACAGGCGCCTCGTTACACGTTACTTCGAAATCTGTGAACCATTAAAATTCCTTTTTTTCATGCTTTCTAACTTTCTTGCAAATGTACGAGAATCGAAAGAACACGCAAGACAAAGAAGGCACGAATTTTAATTTTTATTTCAATCACTTTACTTGCTTTCAGGCAATACTGCGACGAATGATTCGACCACGGTTCGTATTTCGCGTCTAGCCCAGGATGATGGTGAAGTTGACACTTGTGTCTACAACAGTTGACATTTTTGTTCGCGTTGTCCATGTAACCAAGTCTCCCGTACAATCCGTACTTCTTCTCGTCAACGGCACGCAATGTCCCGTTCTTCTTCATCGCCATGTAAATCTGTTCCAACATCCCGTAACTCTTAATCAAGAAGTCACGTTGAGCCAACGAGGTGACTCGTTCCCTTTCCTCCGATTCGCAGATGATCTCTGGCTCGAAGGAGCGCGAGGTATTCGTGGATGAATGAGTTTGCTTCCTCACCTGTACATTTCGAAATGTTATTTGGTCAAGGTGTTATTTTTATCTAAGAAAGCTTACGTTCGCCTGGGTTGTATGTCTTTTCGACGGTAACGCGGATTTACTTCTTTCTTGATCGTTCATAATGGCCAATTTCTTTGGGGCGTCTGGACTCTCCGCGTGCAGTTTCGAATCGCTCCATTTTCCATTGATCCTTTTAGTCTCTTGTTCTTTGATTTTCATCTATAGATTGAAAAATTTCCAGAACGAAGATAAATATGTATCTACTATTGATTGTATTATTTTTAAAAGTGAGACAAACACCTCGTTTTCTTCCTTTTGAATTCTCGATGCCTCTTCTCGTGCCCTCGACGCGATCGTATCTTGATATACGGAAATGCCAGTTTGCTTGTAGAACGGTTGATACTTTTCAGTGTCGGAACACGGATAGATTCTACGGAAATTGCCCATGTGATCGTCTTCCCATTTGAATTGCTTTTGGTGCTGATCATCTTCCGGTTTATCTGATTTCATCGTGCCGATCGTCGAATCGTTCGTACTGTATCGAACGAATAACGGATCAAAGAATTACACGTTACGAGAATATTTTTATTAATCCTGTTCACCTGCCATCCTTGGAATTTATTCCTTGAAGCAATCTGTCCCTAACGCGTTTCCTATCCTCCTCGATGATCTTTTTCTTGTCGCATTGATTCAAGTTCAACATCTCGAAGGTGTCCGTCAACAGTCCCTCCTTTATGTCTTTGTCGATTTGCGCATCCGTGTGAAAACTCGGCGAATGATTAACCTACCGTAGTATTTCTTTTGACGATTAGTCATTTCTCTCTTTCGTACGATCAATCGGTTTATCTTTACCTCTAAAAGATACGGCTTCAGTTTCCAATCGAGCAACACGTCGAAGCCTAGCAACTCGAAACACGCGTACGTTTTATCGTGCGTAGGGAAACACGTGTGATAGCTGTGCTTAAGGATAGGGTACGCAGCTAGGATCGTTTTTATTATGATCTCGTCGATTTTGCGCCATAGATCGTCAACGTTTACGTCCTTCAGTTTCAGCCACTTGTTCAGAGTCGATATTTTCCTAAGTTAGAAAGTTGTACGTTCCAACGGGGTAGTATATACAGACGGTCAAAGTAGTAGGTGAAAAAACTAGCAAACGCTGACCTTTTGCTACCAATCTCATCGTCGATCACGTACATTCGACTGTGCTTGTTAACAGCATAGTTGGTCAAATGCATGAACACGTTGGATGTGTTGTGACCGGTCGGTTCTTTGTATCTGCTCGTCGCGAACCTACAATAACGTAAAAGACATTGAGTTTGCGAGCATCTCGATTTGTTAGAAAGAAAAGTTACCTGGCTAGGCCATCGTTGTACACGTAAATCCTAAGAGGATCGCAGGAGGTAATCAGCGTATAGATACGAAGATCGAATTTGTAGCCGTCCACCAGAAAAGGCTACAGACACGAATGATCTTCACCAAAGAAGAGTACAAATGAATTGCTTAAGGTTAAAAATGCTCGCGTACCCTGGCCACGTAAACTTGACAGATCATACGCTCGGTTGGTTTCACCTCCTTCAGATTTTTCGTCAAATAAATCCCACGACCTTGACACCCTGTGTCTGGTTTGATGATGAAGGTTTTAGATCGTCTCAGCTTCGCGTACGCCATCGCTTCACCGTGGCTGAAAATATTCATCGTCGCTCGTTAAATAATAATCGAAATTAACGGGGAGATATCAGTTTGACGATCCTTTTCCTTACTCTGCTGGAAAACACCAGGTTTTTGGAAAGAAATTATAGTCCTTTGGGAATAACTTGAGCATACGATTCAAATTCCTAGCGAGCAGATCCTTTCTACAGATCTCTGTCATTCCAGGGAAGTGATTCACCTTTTGGTATCTCTTCATGTCTTTCGCTCGTTCCACGCTCACGCTCAAGTCGGTCCAGTACAAGTTCCAGCTGCTATCTTCGGTGACCTCTTTCATTCCGAAACGAGTCGCCACTCGTCTGACAACCTCGTATTTACAATTGCTCGTGCATATCGTCAAACATCTTTGCAATCGAACAAACCCTAATGTTATAAACATTATTTTCAATTCGTACGAAAACATACCGTACCTTCGCTTTCTCTTTCTCTTCGCTTTCGACGAAATTCCATCAACGATGTCTTTCCGCGACTCCCCGTCTGTATCTCCGAACGACAGGTCTGTACGATCAAAAAGAAACTCTTTACAATTATTCAGGTAGATCGTAACAGGTTAGATGCGGTAAATAATAACTACCCTTGTCATCTTTTCTATCGGCAAGATTCTTATGGATCGTGCTGGTTTCGCGATTATTTTTCGCAAATTCGGTGAACGGAAGAATGGTGGACGATGTATCGGATATGACGATCTTCTTGCATCGATTTCTGTACACAGTTTTACAAGAGCGCACTTCGCTGCTGGAATCAGACTCGCTGCTAATCTCGCCGATCGTAGGATGGCTCTTCTTCGTGTCACTAGTTTCGAATTCGCGCACCACCATCAAAATATGTTTCTCATTCCGTTCGTCGACGTTCATGACCGGCCTATCTCATTATTTTGAACGATTTGCCCTCGCATGGCGTCAATTTCATCGTACACGTCAAACCAGACGCATCGTATTGCCCGTTTAACTGCAACCACGAATCACGAAGAGAAAAGATGAAATATGGAAAGATAAAATTAATGATATCCACGGTAAAAGGGTGATTGGACTGTGATGAATTTATTGGCAGAGGTAAAACCAAAACTCGGTGGTATTTTACTTCCTGCCGCTCCCGAAATGGTTGGTCGCGTTTCACGCATCGCTCCTCTGCTCAATTGTTTTTTCTTTTTTTCATTTCGCGAAGGAAAGGGAATACAGAATACAGAGACGAAATACACTCGAAAATGTTTCAATTATTTAATAATATTCTTCCTCTATGTATCTCAAGCTTTACAAATGCGATTTTAATCCTTTCAAGTTTCGTATTATATCCACGACATCCAAAGCGCAACCCCAACACAAAGTTACACCGCTTCCTCCGTGTCCATAATTGTGTAACACCTACGAAATATCGTACAAATTCCTGTTAATCGAGATCGATTTGGTGATCGAGGTTGATTGATAATCGTTTTACCGTGATTTCTTTGCCTGTCGACGATTTGTAGACTTCTGGTTCCAGGCGGACTTCCGGTCTCCCTGGTCGAAGACCAACCCATTGTTTTATCACTGTACATTTCTGTAGTAAAAAAATCCAATAATTAATAATTCTCATAAATGTAAAGAAATTAAATGAAACGCTACCTGTAGAGCAGGAACAATTCGACAACATCCATCGTGAATGAATTTAAAGTCTTCCTCTCGTGGTGTACAGTCGAAATCATTTTCTTGGTGCGTACCACCAATCACCGTACTATTAAAGCTTCAAAAACAAAAGATATATTATACACAGGGTGCTGTGTAAACTACTGGTATAAACTGAAAGATTCTTTTTCTACTTTGGTATTATATAATTTCCATCGTCGTCGTCCTCCAAGTATGCGTGCATCGCCCAAGAAGCAGACACCTGAAACGATATAGAAATGATTGAAAAAATGTTTATGCGATCGCGTCCAGTTACCAAAGAACACTAACTCTGGTAACTTGCCCCCTGATAGGTGTAACCGTGTTATCGCTAACGAGTTCGCGCGCACCGAGACCGCTACAATTTATTATCAAATCGTATCCATCGTCGATCAGCTCGTCGAATCTATGAATTTTACTTCTTCGAACCTTTCCACCAGCTTTCAAAAATTGTTCCCTTAGCCAAGGTAACAAAAGAACAGGCTCGCTCGTGTAGGTCGAGAACATCCAACAGTCTCTAAAATAGTCAGTAGAAATTAGCGTTATTGCATCCGTTTAACTTTGCCAATACTTTACTTGTAATTCGACTTGTTTTCCTCGTTTAATCTCTTCAACTGTTTGGCTGTCAATCGGTGCGCACCGTATACCAATTTCGTCCAGCTAGAATCGGAAAATCCTTTGGGATCGCTGGTACAACGATAAACAGGTATCAAGGAGATTCCAGCTTCGCGGGCCAAACCCTCTTTCCATAATTTTTCCAACCACCGGAGCGTAGCTCCTCCCCATTTTCTGTCAACATTTCAATTATTTTAAATCCTGGAACACGCTGTAGATAGCTTCAAACATTGCAAAAGAAAAAAGATAAAAACATCTGTGTGATAACGGTGATCTTTCAACTACGAATTCTTCTTCTATTCGTACCTCAACGTTCGAGATACTCACAGTATTCTCTCAGGAGGGGTGTTTCCAAGGAGGTATGGACTCCAAAGTCCAGCACTTCCGTCGCCGGTGGTGTCAGGTGAAAATTCGTTCGCGAATAAGTGCACCTCGAACAATGGAAAAGAGTTCTTCACCGCTAAAGCGCTCGTCATCCCAATTACACCGGCGCCAATTATTGCAACGCGCATTTTCACCAAAATTTTCGTTGCTTCTGGGATTTAATTATTGATCCACGGATCGGTGTAGCAATCACCAAGATGTAAACTGCTCGCTAGGTTCCCACTTTCTGTCGCGATATGATTGTACGAGAAATTAAAAAGAAGTTGCATCGCTCTAACGATAACCCCAAGTTCGACGACATTCTGTATATGTAGAAGGTTCAAGCAGAAACTCCGTCAGTCTACCAGGCGCATTTTTATAAACATCGTTTACACTAATAATGAACGAAGATGATTCGAGGATCGCGTTGAACTTACGAATTCGCATATTCGTAGCATAATGCCTGTTTAAAGCTCGGCAATGGTTATGCTAGAATATGGGAATCGTGAAAATCATTGAATCCTTCGAGGAATGAATTATCGAGTCCGTGGTCCAAACGATGCCAGTCTCGTACCGCACCGACGATAAACAGAGCATAATACTTTAAATATCGCATCTCAAAGGTCTTACACTCTGCTTACCGATGGTGCAATACGCGTTTAGGTTTCACTTGAAGCAACCTCCGGTACAAAAAATATTTTTTAAACTATCCTTTCGAAGCGCGATCAGTCGACTAAGGACTATAAATGCGTATCTGACTCTCACAAGACGGCTGACCAAACTGCCTGATGACAGTTGACGATACAGAATATTTGTTTACATCGCATACGAGTCCCCTAGACATAATACAGCCCGGAAATGCGATAAAGGGTATAGGTGACAGGACAGAAAGCAAGAAGTTAAACTCGTTTCTTTTACCACGTTTCGCTTTTATACACCTTTATTATCCCCTGGATCATCAAGCGCTAGTACAATACTAATTAAAGTTTCAATGTTACGAATTGAAGTTTATCGAAAAATTAAGAAATGCAAAATGAGTATAGGAACGTGTTAAAGAGAATGACATCGAAAGAATTTTTACAAAAGCATTTTACCCTCTAAAGTAACTTCTTTCCGTCGATCTCGATCATCCTGCTTCCCGAGAATTGCAATTCAGAGAAATGGATCTGTCCACAGTTTATAGGAACTATAAACAGAACTGATTTGAAATATTCTAACACCGAATTGTTTGAATATTACTGACTGACAAAACAGCAAAGCCCTCTCGTCGTTGAACTGGTTGAAAATCTTTCTTTGTTACGCTCGCAATGCGTTTGGTAGCTTCAGATAGCAGACACCTGAGTGTCTGTTATCCGAGATTACTATTGAGACGATGCATTGTTATTACATCCTACTTTGCGTGCCAATGCTCCTTCGATCTTTTATGTTTTCACGATAAACTGATCGTTAAGAATGCATATAATGTTAATGACGATTTAGTAAGTTTATGGAAGCCAGTAATACAAGGTGTTCACCTCTGGGTCGGTATCCTTTCAGGAGATGATAGCTGCCGTGAATCTGAACAATCTTTTTCTTTGCCAAAATTCTTGTTAAGGTTTAATTTTTGAATTATTAATAAAAAATACCGATCAGTCCGTGGGCGCGTGGTGTGCACGCACAGCCGCGGAAGTGTCGGCTATGAAACGAACTCGTCGCGATGCCGAGTAGTTTGTTCACGACCACAATCGAGTTCGATTCTTATAGTTAACACTCAAAGCCGAACACCTTTTATAGCAGATGAAGGTTGTTGGACCGACTAAAAGTCTAAAATTTTGCTCCAGATTAATACTACTTATTATTCTGGTTACGTCCATGTTATAAAAGCTAGACTAGAAGGGATGTCCTTCCTTCGAAGATCATTGTAATATAATTCAAAAAAATGTTGCCAAGCTTTAAAGGAAGAATATAACGTAATATAAGGATTTAATTTGAAAAGTAAACCAAATGTGTTTATTTAATACTTCATCAATATAATTTGGCGATAATAAATAAGGTTTACATGTATATACAATAACATTAGATATTTTATAAATTATTACTACTGTATGGAAATACGAGTACACTGGTTTCTTTATTTTTGTATATAAATTTATCGGAAAATAATGTAAAACTTTACGCTACTTTCTTTATCGCAATAATACAAAATACTTGAAATAGAAGGTTCTTAAAAAAAATACGTAGTATTATACAAAAATGGTTCACCCTGGACGATTGTTTATAATTTATCTTATAATAAACTGTCGAACAGAACGATTCACAATTTCTTTTCTTTAGACATTCTTGATTAAACTGATTGTTATGTACAATATAACGGATCAGCTACACTGAGTAACAACTGCCTCTTTCAACAAAAGTTAATTTACCAACAAGCTACGATTTTCTAAAGTTGACATATTTACGGAAGTAGCACGGATATAAATTGAAACAATTTACTAATTTTATAAATAACAATAAAATGTTATTAAAAATTATAATTCTATATGTGCTACTTTCAGGGTTGGTATGAAAATTTTTTCCATAGACAAAATATTTATCACAGATGGAGTTTAAATTACCCTTAAAATCGCAATAAAAGTTTAACAAAATTTGTTAGAAATGTAATGTTTACAAAGAATGTAAAACTCAATTACCCATAATCTGTAGCAATTTTTATTGCGACTTTATATCGTACCTTTAATAAATGATGTAAGAATTGTAAATAATTTATAGCTTATATAAATCAGCTGCTCGACAAACTTACTTATGTATAATTCATATACAAATTTATTTGTGTGATGTATTTTACTGCATTAACTTAATTAGTTCATTCGTAATTACTGCTTTACTATCTCAACATTTGTCTAAATCTATCCAATTCAAAGATACTTTCCGACAATCTGCAAAATTAAAAAAATTACAAATTGTAACTTTTACTTGAAATATTATTTATCGAATCATTTATATGCTTACCTTCCAAAAGCATTTATAAGAGCAACGATTTCACTTCTTTCTAAGAAAAATGTCTTCTTGTTGAAGTGATTTAATGTCGGTTCCCATCTGTCAAATTTTCCCGAGAACAAAATTTTTAACGCTGTACCCAAACCATGCGTTTGAAGCTTTCCCCAAAGTTTACATTTGTCGCACCCTACACAATCCATAATACGAGATATATTTCTAAAATGTTGTCTAAATTGTTCTTTTAATAACAGAGCTTCCGCTCCGCCAGTAAACATAACGCTTTCATTAAAATGTTCTGGAAATGATCTAAAAAAAATTCAATTTATATAAAAGCTATGCGAATATTGAAATTATTATTTATATATCTAATTAAACTTACTTAACAACAGCTAGAATATCATTTATTGCTAAGCGAGTATCGTTATCGTGTGCTCTGTTACCAGTATAATATTCTTCTCTTTCTAAATATGGTGCAGCTTTAGCCAAGGCTCTTAATTCAAGTAGATAAGTAAAATATAAATTTTTTAACCAGTTTGGACCTTCACTTCCAGTTGTTTCTGGAGAAAATCTGTTCTGAAACTCTTGTAAATTAGGACCCCACTGGCCAGTAGGTACTATTGCTAAACTATCTTTTGGAGATAGTAAATACTTTGCACATAAGTGAATATTAATACTGGCATGAAGACCTGATATAACGCGATAAAATACTCTTTTTTCCAAACACATTCCTAAAACAGTAAGAAAATATTTCAGTCTATTACAACAATGACACTATACCATTTATACTTACCATTTATTTTTGAAGACTGAATGAAATTATGTGGTGAATTTTCAGGTCTGAAAATATTTAACATTTGATATTACGCAAAAGCATTAAATTACAATCACAAATAATATCACAAATTCATGCACAAACCTAAAACAATTTTCCATGTAAATACTGCGCCATATTCTGTGTGCACTAGGTCCTTTATAGCCTGTATACCTTTCAGGATTAAGTAAAAGGTTTACATATTCTCCAGGACTTGACTCTTTCACACAGAAATTATCTTGAGCATCATCATACTGTTGCCATAGTTCAAAATCTTTGTAATTTTCTGAGCTAAAAGAAAAATATTGAAATAATTCGTTCATTTAATCAATTATATATAAATAGCTCTTTTTTTTACCTAATTGTTGTGTTTAAATAACCAAGTTCCTTATTATGATCTTTAGCACTGTATAGGCAATCATTAAACTGATTTATAGGTTTATATTTATCTACAGGACTTTCATTAAAGTGAATATTCCTAAGTACATCTCCTTTCAGACCATCTGGAATATCTTCCTACAATAAAGAAATATTTCATGCTGTCATTTAAATATCCTAGAACATCAAATATTCTATTCAATGTATTAGTCACTTACATCTTGACAAGGCTGTACATGACAATATCTCATAGCACATTTACTGTCATCAGTCCAAAAGGGACATTCTTGTTTTAAATTTACTTTATAAAAGCGAAAATAATCTCTGACTAGAAGACTCTGAAGTCTTGGATAAATCTTCATATTATTAAAGTAATCCACTGTATCTACGCTACAGCTACAGTCATCAATTGATCCTTTCAACTGGAAGTTTTATTAATGAAATAAATTATTTAGCTATTGATAAAAATGCATTATATAGTACAATATGTCAGTTTGACAGTTCTGACATATCCTCGTAGGTTATATTTATTTTTTATGAAGAAACTTGAATAACAGAAAAACAACGAAAACAATACCTTACAAAAGCACTGATCGTTTTTCTCATTGTTTGTCATAAAATAGTTACAGTACACAATAGAAGGTAAAAGTAGAGTAAGCAATATTAAAGTACGAAACATGTTTTCACTGGGTTCAATTTTCATGATTAAATTCACTGGTACGCCTCCTCAGTCACGGTTAGAACTGATAACTATTGCGGTAAAATACGTTTCCTACTTTCGATAACATCGACCACACTTCGTGAGCTTACGTGCCACCAGAAACGTAAATCTTGTTGCTGAAATAAGTTCTATCGATAGTTTCATCATGCCTATTGATTAATGTTATACTATTCATTACACAAATCTATATACGTGTTTACAGAAAAATGATATTCTTTTATTTTACTAATAATAATTAAATAAAATCAGAAATATAATGATATTGCTACCAGGAAGAACATATATTTGATATGATCTGCATTTTTGAGGACGTGACAGATATCACATCATTGACGTACAGAATGTACAGTTATCTTAACATACATTTCACTTTTTATAATGCAACATCATGAGACTACTTGTGACAAAAGATTAACAATAAGTACAAAATAATTTGAAATTAAATTCAGATATTTGCGTCAAACAATAATTTTATACAAACATGTGAAGTTATATTCCGTTTCCCTCTTCATCTACGATACAAATTTAGATCCACGTGTACTTATAGTATTTGTCACTTATAACAAATGGTAGTATCAGTACATACACTATAAACTGTTTACTTAGAAAATTATATTTATCAAATACCGAGTATAACTATATAACAATTGATGTACATAAGTACATATGTAAGTACTTACATAAAGTTTATTAAATTTTCATTCATTACTTTTTAAGGAAAAACATTAATTTCATAAACTGTAAAATCATTAAAATTAAAAATTTTGATTGCTTAAATTATAGAATATTTACTTTTACTCGTTATATAGCATTTATTTGCTATTAATACATTCTGTATATAAACTTTTAATTATCAACGATCCATCGATCGTTTGTTCTAAATTATTATAGAGCGCGCAACATAACAGTTGACAAAAATATTACATTTTTAGCGATGTCGGTATTTCAGATGTTGAAACACAATTCCTATAAGATGACGATCTGTATCTTTTTCATTTTTTCAAGCCCGATTTTATGAGAATTTTAGAGCTCTTCAAATTACGCGACATAAAATTGTATAGAATAACATTAAAATATACCATTATTCTTAATATCATGTATTTGATTTTATTTCGAATTCTTCATTTTATCAATTAATATACTTATTTATTTTCAACGTTTTCAATAAGTCAATTGATATTTCAAAAAAATTTCGGATATTTGGATGTTTCATAGATGCAATCATCATCGTGAAACACAATATACCATACATACCTTTATGCACTGTGTAAAGTAATATTTTAAGTAAAGAAACCTATTAACATTTATAAATTATTAAATAGGGAGACCGGTTAATGGAATTACTAATAAAATATATTCGAACTATAGAATAATTCAATAAAAATATAAACTCAGGCTTGAACCAATCCTTATAGTTAAGTTCGTAACATTTTATGTATGTATGCATTCATTGGCGTAGACGTATTGTGGTATAGGACATGTCAAAAATTTGTGATGGCGACGATGTTAAAGGTTAGTTGTCATTAAATAACGAAATTTGTATTTAATGTTAGTTTGTACTAAACCGTACGTTCTAAACTAATTTTTAAATCTTTTTAGCTTTCCTGCTGCTCTATTTTGTCTTCACTAATGATACATAAATTTTGATAACCTATACAATGTTTGAATTGTCAAAAAACGTTTGAAAATTTCCTGCACAAAGATATATACACAATTTTATACTAAATATTTGAAAATATCCACGTAACAATACTATGATCACGGCTAGTTAATAATTAATATGGACTATTATTATATTTTTTAAATAATTGTATCCCAATTTTCGTTGCTGTATCTTCTTAAATTAAACAATAAACCGTTACGGAATAAAACAATTTGAATAAGCAGTACTTTTTTGCATATTTCATTTATTTATATTTGACTACACAGTAGCAATATTATAAATATTATTTAAATATTTCCTGTATTTTGAGAGTTATTGTTAAATGGAATATAGTATGAGATGTTATAGTCAGTTGATATTATTGCAATAAGTTCACTCATATCTACTGTATTATATGTTTAGGACCAAAGTCAAGTGACATTTGAAGACAAATGGCCATGTATGCGACCAATTATTTTAAAACTAATCAAACAGGAACCTGTAACTCAAGCAGAATGGCAAGATTTGTTTTACTCTGTTCATTTAGTATGTGTATGGGATGAAAAAGGTCCTCCTAAGTTAAGAGATGCCTTAAAAGAGGATATAATGGACTTTATTAAACAAGCTCAACAGGTAGATAATATTTTAATTTGTATCATTAATTGTTGTTAATGATGAAAAAGAATAATTATTACTTTGTCTATTTTATAGAGGGTCTTAGCACATCAGGAAGAGCAAGCTTTGTTAAAAGCATACATAACTGAATGGAGAAAGTTCTTTGCTCAGTGCAATTATTTACCGACACCATTTAGACAGTTAGAAACATCTCTTGCTGGGAAAACAACTTCCAGTGTTCAGAAAAAGAATCAACCTGATGATATTGTCAGAAAAGTAAGAGTTTCTTGTAAATTTCTCAATGTATAATTGTATAACACATTGCTTTTGTTATAGTTAATGTTGGATAGTTGGAATCAAAGTATATTTGGGGAAATTAAACAGAGACTTCAAGATTCGGCTATGAGGCTTGTACGTGCTGAAAGAAATGGAGAAGCATTTGATTCACAGCTTGTTATTGGTGTTAGAGAATCTTATGGTAATAAATTTTACAGTAACATACAAGATATTCTAACGTGTTGTTGAGTATTTAAAATTTTATTACAAATTGCAGTAAATTTGTGTTCAAATACGACGGATAAGCTTCAAATCTACAGAGAAAATTTTGAAGCAGCATACATAGAAGCAACAGAAGCATTCTATTGGGTTAAAGCACCAGAACAATTATCATTACATGGAGTAGAGAATTATATGCGTTATGCAGATGCAAAGTTAAGGGAAGAGGAACTTCGTGCACAAAAATATTTAGAACCAAACAGTGCTAGTGTACAGCTTTTAACTGATTGTTGCGTTCGCGTGCTAGTAGCTACTTTTAAACCAGCTATATTAGCAGAATGTCCAAGGATGATTCAACATTGTCAAACAGATAGTAAGTGTATTTTCATTTACATCATAATATTTTAGTAATGTTTCTGTAATAATAACATCAAATAAACCATAATTATAGAACTTAGGCTAATGCTGAAACTAATGGATAGAGTACCAGAAGGAGTCGATCCTATGTTAAGAAATTTAGAAGAACATATAGCAAGTGCAGGTTTGGCAGACATGATGTCAGTTGTAGATGTCATCACTCAAGATTCCGAAAAATATGTTGAAAGACTATTAGATCTTTTTCGTCGATTTTCCATTCTTGTGAAAGAAGCGTTTGACGACGATCCCCGATTTCTAACCGCTCGAGACAAAGCTTACAAACTAGTTGTAAATGATGCAACAGTATTTAGGCTAGAATTACCTGCTCGACAAAGTGCCGGTATCGGTACAACGATTTTGAATAATAAACCTAACAACAACAATAATGGACAGCCTGAATCAAAATGTCCCGAACTTCTTGCTAACTACTGTGATATGTTACTTAGGAAAACACCTCTCAGTAAAAAATTAACTTCTGATGAAATTGAAAGTAAATTAAAGGATGTAGTAAGTATATTTTTGGTATATCTATAACATTTAATTACTTTGTTTCATATTCATCATACATTGATTTCGTTTTAGTTATTAGTATTAAAATACGTTCAAAATAAGGATGTATTTATGCGCTATCATAAAGCTCATTTAACAAGGCGCTTAATATTAGATACATCTGCGGATTCTGAAAAAGAAGAGAATATGGTAGAATGGCTCCGCGAAGTAGGAATGCCAGCTGATTATGTTAATAAACTAGCTCGAATGTTTCAAGATATTAAAGTATCACAAGATCTTAATCAACAATTTAAGGAACAGTGTAGAGCTGCTATTGCAGATAGCATAAATATTAAGGTATTGGTTAGAATAGTTAAAAATATTTTATATTTATTTTAGAAAATGTACATCAATAAAATTTGTTATAGATATTAAATGCTGGTGCATGGGCTAGAGGTAGTGAACGCGTCACTGTAAGTTTGCCACTACAGTTAGAAGATTATATTCCTGAAGTAGAAGAATTTTATAGAAAAAAACATAGTGGAAGGAAATTACAGTGGTATCATCATATGTCAAATGGCACGGTAAGAAAGAATATGTCTTGTCATAAAATGTTAAAATAAATGTTTATTATAATTAAAATAAACGTTTATTAAAATTTTTATGAGATAAACAATGGGTTGATAATTGAAAACTATGTTTTATTAAAACAGAACAAGATAAATTTTTCTGAGGCAGTAAACGTGGGTACAGGGTAGAACTTTTCAAAAAATTCAATATCTCGGTTCTAATTTTCAGCTTCACCTTGCAACCAATTTGGATGGTGTTGCAGATAACATTTTCCAACCAAGTGGGACGCTTCGATGTGGACGTAACAACTTTTCAAATGGCAGTTTTGTTTGCTTGGAATCAACGACCGTTTGAGAAGATATCATATGAAAATTTACGTTTGGCCACTGAACTTCCTGATCCTGAGCTAAGACGGACTTTATGGTCTTTGTGTGCCTTTCCGAAACTGAAGCGTCAACTCCTCTTAGTAGAACCGCATGCACATAGTCCCAAAGATTTTGCAAATGATACGAGATTCTGGGTGAATCAAGAATTCGCTATCATGTTAGTAATATATTTTCAAAAATTATACAATTTCATTTATATAAAATCGACAATTAACCTCTATTTTCAATCTGTAGAAAAAATGGAAAATTACAAAAACGGGGTAAAATTAATCTAATAGGAAGACTTCAGCTGTCAACTGAACGAAGTAAAGAAGAAGATAACCAATCTATTGTACAACTTAGAATATTAAGGGTCCAGGTATGTCTTTTATCAAAATAAATAATTTTCTATTTTTTTGTTCATAAGTAACAATTTTAATGTTTCTTGTTTAATAGGAAGCAATTATCAAGATTTTAAAAATGCGCAAAAAAATTAACAATGCTCAGTTGCAAACCGAATTAATCGACATATTAAAGAATATGTTTTTACCAAGTAAAAAGATGATAAAGGAACAAATTGAATGGCTCATAGAACATAAATACATACGCAGGCATGACGACGATATTAATACTTTTGTGTACATGGCATAAGTCAAGTTTATACATACATATACTATTCAAATTCTTATAATTAATATTATATTTTTATAAAAATTCAGTTCTTGTTTATGAAAGTGTATGCTCAAAGATCCCAATATAATTGAAAAAATATTAATGTTGTTTGCAGCATGTTCGTAATGAACATCTTTTAACTAAAAAATTAATAATGATACACGACATCATATCGTTCATAAATTACGATTAAATATAGTACCATCTCCGATTAAGGTAATATGCATTGTTAAGTAAACAAATTACTATAATATTTCGGTGCATTCAACGACAAAATTTATTATAAACTTTTTTATAAGAAAGTGTAAATTAGAAGACATTTATGGAGAACTGTATACATTTTTAAAAGTTTCCGATTAGATATATTTGGTGATATTAATAATTTACGCTTTCAGAAAATTGTATTGTTCATTTTATAGGTAACTTAATTTCATAAATAACAGATAATAGATCAATGTTTTTCTGAAACCTCTGTGATTTTAAGGTAATTAAATAGTTTTATGCAATTAAAGTAATCAACTTAAAAAAACTATATCGAATGTTTAAAAAGTTTATAAATCCCTTAAAAATTTCACATAATTTTGGGTAAAAATTATAGATCTTTCTCATTTTTTAATAATCACGTACGTTGTACATTACACTACGTAATGTATGTACCCAATGCAAATGATATAAACAGACGAATATGTTTATTTTCTGTATGTGTACATATTTTTCAAGTGTAGCTAATTTTCGTTAACTTTGAATTATAGAAAGCTTATAAGCTAAATATAAGTTTTCTTGCATTCTGCATTCTGTTTTATACTAATTAAAATCACAACTTTTTAATCTGAATAAATGTATATTTTTACTTGCAAAGATTTAGATTGGAGGATAATGTAATGGAAGGGTATATCAAATGGCCTATAACATGTAAATGTATGATTAAAAAAACTCATATTCATTTTATTAAATTAATAAAACAATGTTATAATCTCTGTACTGAAAAAAATTTCATACAATTACGTCATGAATCATAAAATCGTGACTTAATATTATTAATACCGTATATGTGTATAAAGCTTTTATATTATTTCAATAAGCTAATAATAAGTGTAAAAGCGAACAATTTCTGAATTAAAAAAGAACTTTTTATATTTTTTGACGCATCTCATTACATTCTTCCCAGAAATATCTTTAAGAGAATCATTTCGTTAAAATTAACATTCTCTTACAAACATCACTCTTTCAAACTTTAAGATACGTATAATCTCAACGGAATAAATAATCGTTAATAAATTTTTTTTTACTTTGTATAACATTCATTCACACAAGACAAGCTTTGAATAACGTATTTATTCACACAAAAGTAATTTATTATAACATATTTATAAACTTTCAACAGTTCTATATCAGATTCTATAATAGATTAAATTTTACATCAATATGAAACACATTTCATGTGAGTGAGAACATTATATACATTTACGTACATGTATATGTAAATATCACTGTTACAATAAAATAATAACACTAATACATTGCGAATAATATGCAATATTTCCAATTACAATTAATTTCAATTTTTTTTCAAATAAAACAATGCTATTAATTGTCTATTTACCGATGTGTATATTTCAAAAAGTTGTAACACTGTTTAAAAAAGAAACGAAATTATTCATTTTTTAATTTGAATATTAATTAATTAAACTATAATCAAGAGTAGTATTAACAGCGCTAATTTTCGTTTACATGGTACACTTTCATAATAACATGTATGTACATTAAATATACATCAAGGTTTATAATTGCCCTTAAATTTAGCGCACATATACCTATTTGTTTACAAATCTGTATTTTCAAGTTAATTATTTTTCAAATTTCAAAACAATTATTAGACCAAGAAGTTAATCCTATTTATTTCTTCTACAATCATAAATTTTTATGTATCTTTTTTTAAGAATATCTGCGACATCAATTTGAAATAGTTTTGATATTGCTAACTTCAATACCGTTTATCCTTGACACTGTATTGTTAGTTTTATTAATTTTTAAATGTCAAATAAGCATCTAATATTTTCAATCACATTTTCAAATCAGAAGAATTATAAGAATCACTACAAAATTTATGAAACTATCCTGAAATTGTTTTTCTAATATTTTATTTGTACATTATTAAGTATTCGATGATTTTTAAGTTATGTCAAGTTATATCACGTTTTTGACAATATATTTTTATTTGCAATACCAGCATGAAATAACATGATTTATCTGAAAATAAATAATTTTTTGTGACAAAATATTCAAATACGTTTCTATCCCACATTTATCATTCCCATGTAATACTCACATATATTTGTATTTGAGCAAAAAACATTTACAAATCATTTCCTGTGATAATTATTATCACAAATGAATGAAATATCAATTTTTCAATATGACAATAACAAATTTTTAAATGTTGAATATCATTGTCTGTAATGCTTCTAATTGCTTGCTGGATGGATAAATAATTCATTGTCATAGGATGGACAATATTTCTAGTTAAATTGCTTACGAATGTTCTGGACAACGTGTATGTTGAATACGTGGAACGGTTTTCATAGGATTTGTCGTTTCGCAAACGTGAACAACTATGCCTGGTTGTCCTGAACCTCCAGGGTGTAATTCATGACTACCTCCTGCAAAAATTACTTATGTAATTCACTTAACATCAAATATAAAAGAAACAGTTTATGAATTATTTAATTAATACCTGCAGATAAATTTGCTATAGCTGCTAATAAATCATGATTAACTAAAGGTTCGTTTTCTTCTCTGGGTTCCCATCCAACAGGTGGTGATGCAGGTGGTGAAATTAAGAACTGTTTAGTGAGAGCTGGTGGTTGAAGATGTTGATCTTCTATGTCTATAAATTACATTGTTTTTAATTAGTAAAACTACTTTGAACTTTTATTATACAAAGCCCAATTTTACAAACCTATGGGAGTAACAGGTTGTGCAAAATAACAATTGATATCGGTCTCACCAAAATGTGTTTGGTGTAACTGTATTCTGGCATTTGCTGCTGCATTTGGCGAACTGTAATTTACTCTCATTCTTCTAAATGATCTAAAATATTGAAATGTAGCATCCTCTCCAAATCTTTTAAAGAGATTCTCTATTTCTTTCTATGAAAACAAAATGAATATTTTTAAAAAAAGTCCATTGCTGTTATGTTGATTTTCATTACATCTTTCTGTCACCTTCAATTCATCACTTTTAAAAACTCGAGGGTCTACATTAGTTACAATGACAGAGGTTGGCAAATCTTCATCATGTACTAAATCTTCCATAGACCTTGTACTTAAATCATTATGATCTTTCTGTACATCAAACTCAAGCCCCAACTGCTGGTAATTAGGATGTAAATTTGGTAATCCATCAACTTCATTTATTATTATATTCTCTGTTTCTTCTAGATCTTCATCTTCCACTATGTTAGAACCACGTTTTTCTTCCATGCTTACTTTTTGCAATGTATAAAAACATTAAATTATAGCATTTAAATAAAAGTACAGCTTCCTTATACATTTATAAATCAATTACATCTACAATAAAACAATAAACTAAAAAAATAAGACAGTAAAATTATTATATTTCCAAATCAACAATAGTATGTAATTTCTTATAATACAATATACTTCACAACCAAATAACATATGTAACATGAAATTATGGAAAATACATACAAATACATGTAAATCCTTATTGTACGTCCTTTGAAAAAACTACTTTAATGTATTTTTACATATTTCTAACCATGACAACAAATTTCAATGCTTCATTATAAATGTAATTTTATGTACCAAACTAAATGTGATTATTTCTGTACTCTTTTCAATTAGTATTTATTAACTGTTGAAAGTTAAATGATAATTAAATATTAGTTGAAATAACACAGCATAAAATTTAATTGTTTTTAAACATTTATTTGAATACCGTATTATTTTATTTAAAAAAAAAAGGGAAAAAGTCATGTTTCCTTTATAAAATATATGTTAATCATTAAAAATGCTTCCATTAATAATTCAAAGCTCATGCATATTTACAAAACTCGTATTAACCATATTAATAAACTATAAATATATTTACCACTATTTTAATTCTCATTAAATAATTACAATTACTACTACACCAATGACATGCATCATCTTTAGTGAGAAAGTTATTAATCAGCTGACCGAACACAGATAATACTTGCCTAACTTTTCTTAAGCGGCTAAATTGAATGTATAACACCTTTCTTTTGTTAATACTTATCCGTATCGAGAATAATTTCTTTACTTTTTTACTTATTTATTTACGTACTTATCTATTTACATATAAAATCTGTCATTGTATCAACGTATTGTGGACCATTTATGCCACTTCCGATATTGCACACTGTATTTACTATTTTATTATTATTGTAGTGCAATCTTTTACACTCATAGACTGTAAGAAATAAATAGAAAGATAACAAACCAATGTAAATGGTTTTTTTAAGGTGATGCTAGCGTTGAAAACTTTACCGACAGTCCCTAGAAAAATCCCTAGACGCGAGTTTTCAACCACTTTCAACACTCAAATGGTGATGCAAGCGTCGAAAACTTTACCGACAGTCCTTAGAGAAATCCCTAGACGCAAGTTTTCAAATTACGTCCTCATTTCTAAATAGAATGTAAAAAAATTTGAGGGACGTGTTCAGAAGGTGATAAAGAATATTTGTCTGGTCCTCACATTATCTAAATCGTCAAAAACTTATAAAATATTGAAATTGCTGTCTGTCAACGGTCAAGAAAATGGCGGATCGGACTCACCTGCTATGATTTATTCGTAATATAAACATTTCTGTGAATCGTATGTTCAAATAGGGACCAGACTGATATTCTTTGGGTCGGATAGAATAAAACGAGCACCCAAGGGATGATGTACAAGTCTCCAGGTAGAAGTAATTTGAAAACTACGATTTCGTTGATTGTTCACTCGCGAAAGACGTCAAGAAGGTAAAACAGACCAGAAATTTAGTTTCTCGTTCATTCTGTAGGGCGCTGTTCGTTCGTTTGATTAATAAACAATTGTAAAATTAAAAATAATAATTAAATAATTTTTAATAGAATAATTAAACAAAATATTGCAATATACCCACGCGGAAATGTAAAGAAATAAACAATTTAAATAGATATAACAATAATTTGATTAATAAACAATTGCAAAATATAAAATAATAATTAAACAAATATTAACAAATATCAGATAGAAATAATTAAATCTGCGGAACCGGTTAAGCGGAACGTCATGCTTGATTGCGCGCGCCGCGCGCCGGTACATGCGCGACCTGTAGAGAGGTCAAATCTAATCAGTCTTATCGCGACCGCCGAAGGATACGGATGGAGCTGCCAAACATATACCGGTACGGGTTGACACTATGGATATTCGTGCATGGATTTATCAGTGTGTTACCACAAGTGTTTCTATGTGTGCCTATGGTGTTTCCTATAGTGTTTCCCTTGTGTTTTGGAATATTTATACGGATATATTAGTGCGTCTTATGGTGTGATCACCCATGTGTTCTGACATTTTTATACAAGTGCATTAGTGTACTGTGTGGTGTGGTACCCCATGTACCTGCATGTGCTTTATTGTGTTTTATGGTGTGGTTTCCTTTGTGCTTTGACATATATTTACGGATTTATTAGTGGGTTTTATGGAGTGGTACCCTATGTGTTTTGGCATATTTATACGGATTTATTAGTGGGTTTTATGGAGTAGTACCCTTTGTGTTTTGGCATATTTATACGGATTTATTAGTAGGTTTTATGGATTGGTACCCTATGTGTTTTACTATAATTTTGCAAATATTTTATAGTGTTCTATGGTTTTGATCTTCGAGTGTTTTGGAATGTATTTGCATGTGTTTTACCGTGTTTTATGGTGTAGTTATTCCCATATAGTTTTGCATGCATATTTTTGAATTATCCTATGTATTAGCATATTAACTACAACAAATTGAGAGAAAACATATATCGTTCAAGAATCGTGATTTTTATGCTTTCAGATGAGTGCTTTGGCCAGTGGGGATACCGTTTCTTTGACGAGCCAACATACGAGCTATGGGTCAATCTAACAATAAGATGCGTAGCGAGTGCAGTGGTGCAAGTCAACGATCGGTGAGTCGCATGCTTTAAAGTTCCTCCGGTTCCCATCATGTCGTAGGACGAATGGTCCGTAGCGACACGGGAATTGGTTGTAATTTTTATTTTTGAGCGAGCATAGTGACCCACGAATATCACTGTATCATTTTATACAATGATAATCGTGTAAATTGCTTTTTTGTGTATTTTATGCCTTAGCTCAGGATAGGGTTTTCTTGTACATATTTGCATATATAGATTTCGAGTTTAAAAATGTAGAGAAGTCGGATGACCCTCCGACTTCACAATACACTTTCTTTTTTATATGTACAAGAATTTATTTCGCGATGAGCGGATTTCAATATCAAAGTAATAAGCATGAATACTATTAATTATTATAACTACTTACTTTGATAACGAAAACGCTCTTGAAATTGAACCGTTTTTCCGATTTTACTCGTGAAATTGGCATCAGTTTAGTATATGGGCTGGCCCCCAGGGGGGTCAGTATTTGCTCTTCAAGCATTGTATAAAGTTCCCTTTCGAACTTGAAATTCATTCTGTCACGTTCACGATTCTCGACCCTAAACACTTATCATTCACACTCATCATTCATCAGTATAGTGAAATATTAGCCCGTTAGATGTTTATGTACTAGTCATGTTTTTAAATCAGGATTTTCTATTTTAATTAGTGTTGCGAAAAATTTCCAACGCGAGAGTAAATATGACAATGCACTGACTAGTATTTGGTGGGAATCCTTTTGGTTTTTAAACTCAATCCAATCTTTTATTTATTTAATAAAATTAGTTACAAGGATTCCGCGGCATAAGACCGTGAACACCATCTCATGGGAGATAAACCCATGCATTACTAGGCCTTTGCAGGCGCAGCTTTAGAATACGGAACATATGAAAATATGTTACCATATTCTAAACTGTAGTCCTTTTGTCTATACTATGGGCGTCCGTCAATCTGACACCGTTGGATGCAACGTGTTGGACGGGCGGGTAGCGCTCTTAGCGAAGGGGTGCATTCTGTCCTGGCGTTACGACGTCCAGGCGGGGTGGGTGGTATGTAGCGTCTGGCGTAAGTCTAGGGGGCGTGAGACCCTTCGTTGCCAACTGATATTAGCAGTGCACCATGTTTTATGTCATAGTTGCTCAATTTTGCTTTTCTGTATTTGCTCTTCAAACTTTATATTTGCAAAGTCGAGTCACTTTTATTAAAAATAAAACCCCCTGGGGGGGCCAGCCCATATACTAAATCGGAGCCGTGAAATTTCGCCGATATTCTTACTTTTAATAAAGTGAGAATATCATCTTTAGTTTTTGCTAATCATACGTTTTAGCTTAGGCATTTCAGCACACATGAAGAAAACTGGTAGGTGAAAATACCTTTGGCCTTGTTCATTTTTATGCCCAAAGCTCATTCGGGTGCTTAGATGTACTCGCGTGGGTGGAGGGCGGTGGACAAGGTTTAGTTTTAAGTGTAATACATTTTGGCGACTGACAAAAGTAGTGAACCAGTAGTGAACCACGATAGAAGTTCCACATGTGTGTGTGTGGTTAGGATGTGGGATTTGTATCGTTTATTAACAATCTTAACTTACTATAACGTTACAAAATACTGATCAAGAATAAATTGAAAAATTTTTACATTAGATAATTGAATAGAATACGAAAATGAAATGTATTACTTTAGCATAATGTTCACTATTATTTGTCAGTCGATTTCAGCAAAAAGGTATGATTTTATTAGAGTGTGAAAGTTGAATTGAACTCGGGTGTCGGAGGCGTCCCGGGACGTTCTCCCTAGGTGTAGGCATTTTTGCACCCGGGTGGTTGTATGAGAACCGTGGAGTGAATTTTTGTGAGAATGATTTTTGCCCTTTTTTAAATATAGCGATAGGCAGGCAGGTAGTTTACTTCTGGTGTGATTGAGTTTAGTTTATAAGTAGGCAGGGCCAGAGCAAGCTTTCATGTTTCTCTTCGTATTCTCCTCTAATACGTGAGAAGCTTGTATCTGGGGTTGGGAAACCAAAAATCAAGAGAAAAGATGAAAATGCAATTTAATTAATTTATCAATTAATTAATTTAGCATTCTCTCTTGATTTTTTCAAGGCCAAGCCTTATTAGTTTGTAAGTCGTAGTCGTGGTACTAGACCCGATTACAAAAATGAAGTATTAAAGTGAAAGTGCAGTGAAGTGAAGTGAAGTGAAATTAAAAAGTGTTTTATGTTTGGACATTTGCAAAAATTGTGCAGGTATGCGAGTAGCGATTCAAGGGATCGTTGCTCGTTTACGTGTTACGTTTTTACAAATGTCTGAGCAAACGTAAAATTTTCGCGAGTGATTTTTGTGAGGCTATTGCCGAAGAAAGAAGAGGCTATATGCTGAAGAGCCCCGGCAAAATTTGCCCAGAAGAGGGGAACTACTAATGGCTCTCCATCTTCGGATGGACAGTCATTCTGTCACTATGCTCGCTAATTTGTTTTTTCATTTTTTGTGTTTTTCCTTGAACGGTATGAATAATACCGTCCAGGACGTATTGAACTCGACATTTTACGAATTCAATACCCAGCTCGTTGAATGGTCAACTCGCGATTTTATTTCCCCTATTTCTTTTTCGTTTATTGCTTTATTGAAATAAATTATTCTTTTCTTATTGATTTGCACATCAATTATATTTCATGTTCTTATTTTAATTATGTTCTATTTATTTAAAACATAATTACCATTACAATCTCAGAGTATATTTTCTGTTGTCGGCATTTTTCATTTCAATTGTAATCGAAATTATGATGTTAATTATATTTTCTATTTCAGCATTTTATTGTTGAATTGTTATTTTGTTAATTTTTACAGAAATTATGATGTTAATTATATTTTCTATTTCAGCATTTTATTGTTGAATTGTTATTTTGTTATTTTTTACAGAAATTATGATGTTAATTATATTTTCTATTTCAGCATTTTATTGTTGAATTGTTATTTTGTTAATTTTTACAGAAATTATGATGTTAATTATATTTTCTATTTCAGCATTTTATTGTCGAATTGTTATTTTGTTATTTTTTACAGAAATTATGATGTTAATTATATTTTCTATTTCAGCATTTTATTGTTGAATTGTTATTTTCTCAATTGTTTCTGATATTAGGATGTTAATTCTATTTCCTATTTCAAGATTGTATTGTTTAAATTTTTATTTTAGTTTGTCTGCTTTGAATGGTTTCACGTTATTGTATATCTAATCCTAATAATTATGTTTTCCGTTACAGCATTTTATTGTTAAATTATTATTATTTTCTCAATTGTTTCT